TCTTTTTTCCGAGACATCGAAGCATATCCTCATATTTGGTGTTTTTTTTATTTTAGATCTTTGTAAGTACACATTTTATCTTTGCTTTCAATATTTTTAGGAATTTTTGTTGGATCAAGAATTAGATGGGTGAGTCTTTGTGTAACATGTAAAGTGGGAATGTATGTTTTAAGTGAATATTTTATGTTACCCATGGTATATTCATGTACGCGTACGTACATTCATATATTGATGTTTACCTATCAAATTGTAGAAAATGTTGAAATAAACTTTCACCATTTCTTTGTTTCTTTTGGTTTTATGCTGGTCCATGATAGGTCTTTTTTCTGGTTAGTGTAGGAGATATCCCTTTCTGGAGCCAGGTACCAAAATTGTTTGAGGGAAATACGTAGTCGAGCTAATGATGTTGAGGATAAAGAAAAGGGGATTAAGATAGCAAAAAAGGACTGGGAGAAGTTGCATGTACATATTGATTCATACAATAATTTCCCAACTGCTGCTGGCTTGGCTTCCTCTGCTGCCGGTTTTGCTTGTCTTGGTAAAACCTGACTTCTCTCTTAATTTAGGATTTTCGCCTTTTTCTATTAGATATGTTTGAAGAGTGGGGAAAATTTTAAAATGTTTGCAAAAAGGCCCTATTGTTTATCTCAATATGTGGTTTTGAGAATGGGTTTATTTGCACATTTGATACATCTTAAGAAATAATGATCACTATGTATAATTTATTTTATGTTTGTATATGCAGTCTTTGCTCTGGCAAATTTGATGAATGTCAAGGAAGATCATAGCCAGTTATCTGCTATTGCAAGGTATCCTTTTTTTCTTTGGTCATCTCTATACAACCAAAAGTCACTTGTACTTGATCCCTCTTTTCGAATACAATATTATGGTTGGTTTTAGGGTGTCATCCTTTCTTTTATGGGTTGAGCGCTTCTGGCTGTAGAAGATCCATACTTCTTTTTGTTTCATTATTTGCCCCATCCATAAGCTTCTAGGTTGCTTTAGTGTTTGTTTTTGCACCCGAATTTTAATTGATAAAATTAAATTTTGTAAACTCTGACGTGCAGTCCCTTATAATTTCTGATTTTACGTTTTGACTTAGCATTCTCATGTTTACTTCTGCTTGTGTATAGTTCAGATGGATATTGTTATGCTATATTTAATATCAATTTTTTCCCTCTATTTGAAAAAGAGCATTTTGCTATTTATATCGTTTTAAATATATATTTACACAGATCGCTAGTATTCTTGAGGAATAGAGATCATCTTATAGACTCCCTTGGGCCTCCACTATCTTTTTTTCTCCATGGGAAACAACCTTTCAAATTTCATTAAAGGAAAAGAGGAAATGTACATCAAAGGAAGTGAAACGGATCCACCCAACAAGTAAAGATTATAGACTTTCCAATTAGTAGTCAAACGTGAAGAAACGGATTAATTTTGAAACTATTCTGATCAGGGACTACAACTAGATATATCCCAAGAAAACTGAAAATTCTTCTCCCCATTAGCTGGATTCTTCCCTTTCTCTCCATCCAAATTAGCAAAACCAGAATTGTCCATATAACTTGTCCCAAGCAAGAAAACTTGGATTGAGGAAAAGGTATGTGTGAGTGCAATACACTGAAAAACGTAGCCCATTAACTGTTGATAAAAATGTTAACATAGGTATGGAGAATGTGCCGTTAAGGGGAGAAATCAGACGTTGGGTTCCTTTACTTGATGTATGGACCATATTAGAAGTATTTTGCCTTCCATACAACTTCACATAAATCTTTTGGAATAAGCTCACTGGAAACGGTTAGGTTTGAGAAGGATGTCACTAATTTCCTCTTTCATTTCTTTTTCTAATCAGCACCATTTGGTTGGTGTGTACCTTGACCATAGAAAAAGGTGGGTGGCATGTAGTCATAGTATAGACTTCCAATGTAAATAATGTTCTTATTTTGACTTGTTATCTGTTTATCTCAATGTAATTTCTGTTTTTTAGGAACATTGATTCATTTATTCCAAAGTAATCACGACTATTTAAATCATGTAGGCAAGGTTCGGGAAGTGCATGCCGCAGCTTATATGGTGGATTTGTGAAGTGGAGCATGGGAAAAGTAAGTTTACCTGTTCATACATTTAAATTTGCAAACTTCAGGAAGTTGCCACTTTCTTTATCGCAAATAATTCTGATTTCTGATATGGGTGAATGAGAATAGTTCTTATGTTTTCTTTTTGTCTTGTACCATTGTTAAGGAAAAGGATGGAAGTGATAGTCTTGCAATCCAACTTGCTGACGAGAAGCACTGGGATGATCTTGTAATTATCATTGCTGTGGTGTGTAGCCTCTCACTTTTTCAATTTCAATTTTTTTTTTTGGCTTGGACAAACTGTTCTCCAATTGGCTTGGATAACACAATGGAATGATTGTTCAAAAAGATTTGGCCGGAGAAGACCACCTCGAATCCAAAAAATATTGATTTTTTTGTAGTTTTTCATGAAGTTGTGGTTCCGAAGTCGACAGTTTCGGTTGCATAGGGCCCGTATAGTTAATTACCATGTTTTGTTATTGTCTGTACTTTAGAAGTGACAAAAATAAAAGCATTGAGTGCAAAAATATAAACAATATCCAAATAGTTAACACATACTTTTCTTTTTTTCTATTTGTGATTTGACTACGTTCTGATTATGGTTCTTCAGGATATGTAATTTTCTATCTCATTTTTCTAGGTAAGTTCGCGACAAAAAGAAACAAGTAGTACATCAGGAATGCGGGAAACAGTTGAAACGAGTTTGCTTTTACAACATAGAGCCAAGGTATTCTCGACCGTCTTGTTACCTATTGGATTTGGTGCTTATATGGCATTAACATACCTTGGAATTTCATTGCTTCTTTTGATTCTTGGTGATGCCTTTTAATATCTGCTATTATTTATAACTGGATTTTATGATTTGTTTTCTGTCGGTGTTTTCGTCGTTTTTTCAGTTAAAAAATCTATGTACTCCATAGTCTAGATACATTTCTTTGGACTTTCCCTTTCGGGCTTCCTCTTAAGGTTTTTAAAATGCGTTTGCTAGGGAGAGGTTTCCACACCTTTATGAAGAATGTTTCGTTCCCTTCTCCAACCGATGTAGGATCTCACATTATTTGTTTTTTTTTTATAGGAAGTTGTACCAAAGCGTGTATTAGCCATGGAAGAAGCTATTCAGAATCGTGATTTTGTATCTTTTGCTCAACTGACTTGCAACGATAGCAACCAATTTCATGCAGTCTGTCTTGATACTTCTCCCCCAATATTTTATATGAATGATACATCCCACAGGCAAGCTTACTTTCTCTCATTCTTTCTTTTTCAAGTTCCCCGATCCGCCGATAAGATTCTCATGACTTTCCCGTACTGTTTTCGGTTAAAAAAGCTTTGTTTCGTTCTGACAAAGAACCCATGTTTCAGGATAATTAGTCTCGTTGAGAAATGGAACCGTTCTGAAGGAGAACCTCAGGTCTGATTTTTCCCCAAACCGAAGGAAGATTGCCTTCAGGCTTGCCTTTGCAAATTTCTAATGTTTTCTCCTGATTTCAAACAAACTTTCAGGTGGCTTATACTTTCGACGCAGGCCCGAATTCAGTTCTAATTGCACGTAACAGAAAAACGGCCGTGTCTTTGCTTCAGAGGTTGCTTTTCCAATTCCCTCCAAATCCAGAAACGGAATTAAACAGGTAACTGGATTCTAGAACTGCATTCATTTTCAATCTTGTGCATTCAACAATGAAGAGCCTGCCTCGTTTATTTTTTCTTTGAGAGATTAAATTTCGTCATCTACAATTCTTTCTTCCATCAGTTATGTTCTTGGTGACAAGACAATTCTTCAAGATGCTGGGATTAAGAGTGTTGAGGATATTGAATCCTTACCACAACCTCCAGAAATTAGCAGTTCATTCCAGAAATACCAGGGAGATGTCAGCTATTTCATCTGTACCAGGCCAGGAAAAGGGCCGGTCGTGCTCCCTGAGAGTGAAGCTCTACTCGACCCCAAAACCGGGCTGCCAAAGGACCTCTAGAGGATTTTATTAGTCCTGTGCAATATTCTCACTGAAGGTGTGACTCTGAGAGTTCAGGTTAGACGTGCCATTTTTTTGGAAATATGCAGTTTGTAAGGTAGACCTCTGTTTGTTCGCTTTAAATTCAGTCGGTGTTTCCGTTCAGTAACACACAAGAGAATAATATATCAGTGCTCCCCTTGTTATTGGCCATAAGATCATAAATGGTGGGAGCCTTTGAATGGTCAACTTCCAAAGTTTGTATGAACAACCAAACTTAATTGTTCATTGCCTACAAAGTTCAGTGTCTTGGTCTTTACGTGCTTCGTTTTGTGAAGGGCCGAGTTTCCATTGCCTTAGAGGGTAAAGTCACTACAAAATAAATGAATTGAGAGTGAACATTCCCTTCTTTAATTGTATGTGTCATAAATACGCTATAACCAAGAATGGTCAGCGTCGATTACAAGAATTTTGGGCTCTAGCTCCAATAAGGAAACAATTAAAAATATTAACCATGACGCCTCTTTTTAATACAACAATTGTGAGGTATGAGAATATCCATAATCATTTCCTAAATTAGCCGAGATAGGACTTTCATCATTCAATACCTATTCTTAATTGAGTCAGACTCTTTTTTTTTTTTTGAGTTCTTTGTTAGACATTTAAGGATTTACTAATATATTGACACTACTAAGTTTAGGGTATAACTTTGATATCATATTAGACAAACAGACTCTCCACAAATGACATAAAATTGTCCACTTTGACCATAAACTTTTATGACTCTACTTCGAATTTTCTAAAAGTATTCTTTAATTATAAATTTATGAACATTCTCTGAATTAAATTAGCAAATTAGCATCAGACTTCCAACTCCATGTTCATAGATATATTACAAATTTCAATAGGTAAAGAATATTAAATATCTAAAAATCTATTAAAATGAGAGAGAGAGAGAGAGAGAGAGAGATCCCTTTATAACAATCTATCAGATGCCGGTGAAAAATCGGGCAAAGAAATGGCGGCAATATCTCGCCTGCAAGTGCAGTTCCTCCACATCACTCCTCCTCTCAAATCGCCTTCGGTCTTCTCAAGACTCCCTCAGTTCTCTCGCATTTCTCCCCGTAAATTCTTCACTCATCGCCCTCTCTGCTCCGTTTCCGATTCGACTCCTCAGGTTCATCTCCCTTTTTCTTTTTCATTCGGAATGTAAAATCATGTAATATCTTCGTATATTTGACTATGTTGCTTTCTCGTCTGATTGTATGTGATTTAGGTTCATCTACGTTTTTCTTTTTCATTTGGAATGTCAAATCATGTAATGTGTTCGTGTGTTTGACTATGTTGCTTTCTCGTCTGATTGTATGTGATTTAGAGTTCTTCTTCGGAGATAGGATCGAGTTCGAGCATTGTCGGTGACCTTCTCGACTATCTCAACGAGTCCTGGACTCAGTTTCATGCGACAGGTATTGCATATCTATTGTATGCGTATCATCCTTTATCGCTTTGCTTTTTTTTTTTTTTTTTTTGATTCGATTCGGTAGGAGT